AGAAGTTTGAGCACATCAGTTGGGTGAATATCAGTGATGATCTCAAGGAATTCATCTATGAATATCTAAAAAGGGAACGTGAGGATTGTGAATCAAAAGATCCTATCACTTCTGTCGATTTTCCACGCCTGCTGCACAATTACATTGAACGTGAAGGGTTTGCAGACTGGCCACAATTTACAGCGCTGGATTTTACCAACATCGTCTTTGTTTTGCATATTGCTACCAAGCTGGTTTATAACGACGATCTTCAAAGAAGACGATTTATTCCTCTCTCATACGGAATATGCAGTACCTTGTCTGAGTACATGTTATACCTTGTACTTGTGAATCCATCAATGCTGCCTAAAGTGTTTGGCCAGACGATAATAGAAAGTTTTCTACCTGATGAGGAGAAAGTTTTGCTGATTAAAAAAAAATTTTCAGACTATTAAAAGCATATATACCGAATTATCTTGCCCGTAGGTATAAAAAAGACGACCCAAGTACTAAAGCCACCCAGCAACTGGCCACCGACTTGATGAATTTGCCCCAACGGTTGTCTGATATCTGGAGCGAAGTAATTAAAACAACAGTGCCAAACAAGGCATTAAAGGCTGCGCGTTTATTGCAAGCATACAGGAGGGATGATGAGGAGAAATGGGAATTCTTAAATAACTTGTGGATGAAAATATGATTCATGCAGCCAGTCATTGTTCATGGAAAGAGCATGCTCTACGGTTGAGGAATGGTGGTGAGCTGCTTACTCACATCTCTCTTCTTATGGCACATCTTGGCTTGAGCAAGGACATCCGCGTATATGCAGAAGTTGATTATGGTGATGATTCAGAAGGATTACCGTCACTGGATGACATTATGGCTGCATAGTTAACCATTTGGGACTTGATACAGCATTACTTTCTGTTGTGTGTGTGTTTGTGTTTTTTTTTTTTTTGGGAATAAGTTTCTGTTGTTAAGAACAAGAAAACTATCATGTCGTCTAAAACATTATGTATATTATTTCATGGACGGTGAATAAAGCTTTGGCTAAATGGAAAAAAATCCTTAAATTAAACTTAAAAATTATTCAAATTATTATTATTTTTATTATAATCATTCAATTAATCACTCCAACATTTATTTTTATTTAATTAAAATTTTATTGAATGAAAAATTAACATCATTAATTTTCATCGCCAACTAAAAGATCATTTAAATCCTACTGATCCGTCGGTGTGGTTCAACTTGGACCTTTTTTAGGCTAATCGCAATGTTATAGCGTTTGGATAACATCATCGAGATAGGATTATCCCAGTCATTCAACAAAACTTTTATTTACAGTGAAAAATATTTCTTCCCACCGCACCACTTCTTCCAATATTACCCATGAGTTTTTTGCTTTTTTTTTTTTTTTAAATTTGCCATTAAAATTATAATGATCAGACAACAATCTCCATATCATTTTTTATTTAAAAATATTAAAATAATTTTGTTGATTTAATATAATAAATAAAATTTATTATATAATAAATTAATAAATAAAAAGTTTTATTATTGTTATATAATAAATAAATAAATAATATATATTAATATTTTAATTGAAAATAATAATATTAAAATATATAAAAATAATTTGTCAATACATTTTTAAAGTAAAGTCCTTAATTGGTATTTTTATTCTAACCTCATTATGTTTGCATCAAAAAATTATATCTTTTTACTGATTTTAATCTCATCAATACAATAATTAATTTTACATTCACTTTTATTTTCAACTTCACCAAAGTTAATCTTATTGTCCATCTCGATGAATTATAAAATAAAATTTCATATGATATGAATAATATGGATTATAATTTATGATATGATACAATTAATATATATGTAAAAAAAAAAAAAACATTTCTCTTTTTTTCTTTCTTTTTATTTTTTATTTTCAACCCCACTTTGATTTTACATCTTCTAAACCTTATTTCACCGAAAGCAACCAAAATACATAGATCAAATCTGGATAAAAAAATTTTCATATACGATTAAAAAAATTTAATCCAATTAAAAATCTCGATAAAAAATTCATATACAATTAAACAATATTAATGACCAGAAATATAGCGATGTTACCCAAATAGCAATTACAGCAAATACAGAAGGCATTCAAAAGAAATATTCGACAGCCACCCAGACGTCCTAACAACAAAATTCACATAAGCACACGCAAGATGATATTCATAAGAGGAATTCAATGACAAAGCAAGTAGAATCCTCTATTGAGTTTTACAAGCTCAGTTTCCAGAAAAGTAACATAAAAACTCAATTTTCATCAAACACACAATGATTTTCACTCATAATAAAAACAGGATTGTAAACAAATTGAATATGAATTGACATATATCTGTAATTTATTTATTTATTTTAAAAAATATTTGGGTTCCATTTGTATTCCATAAGAAAATTATTTTATTTGTTTGAACTTAGTTTATTTAAATAATAAAATATTTACATTTAATTTATATTCAATTTGATTAAATTAAAAGAATTCATTCATAAACTTTATAATTAAGAAGCACATAAGCCACAATTTCGAAAACATATAGGTAGCCTTTATTATAATTATCATGATTTACCGGTCTCAACTGTTGTACAAACTTGTATAGAGCTTTCTTCGGTAAGCATATGATTAAGGTGTACATAATTTGATTTTTAATCGAATTAATTGATTGAACCAATTTAATTCTGTAAATCGATCGATCATTAAATTAATTTCAGTCGGTTAACAAAATTAATTTTAAAAAAATTTTAGTTTTTGATTAATCCAGTTCATAACTGAATTAACTGAAATTTTAATTGAAATATAACATAATCCAATTATAAAATAAAAAATATATGAAATAGATCATTTAATTTTATAACTTGTAAGAGTTTTTAATATAATATTTTGATATTTAAATATTTTATTAGATAATTTTATTTAATTTATTTAAAATATGAGAATTTTAAATTTTAAAATATAATTTAATTTAAATATATTTATTATTTGATTAATCAAAAAAATTAACCGAATGGATCAAATTCAATTCAATTAATTAATTTTTAAATTTTATAAATTTAATTTGATTAATAAAATAAAATAATTTAATTTAATTAATTTAATTTTAAATAATTTAATTCAAAATTAATCAAACTAATCCAATAAACACCCTACGTATGACTATGGCAGAGTAGTCAGCAGCTACTTTGCCGTCGCGCATTCACGCTTAAACTTAATTCCAGAATTAAGTCTGTAGAGAGCAAAATCGTTTCCAACCTCACCTGCAACCCCGCTAAAGGTGGCTTTCTCGGGTCGTTGTTGGAAATACGGCTGCAACAGAGATATTTTCTATGGCTGGCCAAAGTAAAAGTTAGCCTAACTATCAGTTTCTCTCTGGAAAAAGATTTGATGTTTTTGAAGTGAAATAACAAATAAACTGAGATAAAAAAAATAACAAATAAAAAAACAGATACAGTGACGAGCGATCAAGAAGCCAACCGCCGCAATACGGAAGGTATATACTTTGTCTGGCTTTCTCAGATTCCCTTTTTCTTTCGTTGCTGCTACTCGACTGTGGGCTGGTGTGATTAAATGCAGTCGGAGCTATTCTACTTATTACGGCTGATATAAGGGACATGCAACCTTGAAAGTTCCTTTACAAAGGTTCCAACGCCGAAGTAAAGAGTACACCGTGTAAAAACGGTTACGTTTTGAAATGGAATCATAATTTTTTTGGGTACTTGAACTTAAATTTTAGATTGCTGTGTGATTGAAATAGGCTTTAAATAAGCCCAAAAAAATGTACTTTTTATATTTGATATATATTTCTCTGATTTTTTTGAGATTAGATTAGTGGACTTTTTTTTTGTATCTATAAAATGTTGATATTCACTCAAAAAATATTGATGTTTTACATGACAACTATGTCTTTTTTATGTTAATTTAAAAAAAAATGTTGCGATGATTATGTTTGATATAATTAATAAAGTTTAATGATTTTATTAATATAAATTAAAATTTAATAATTTGAATGAAAATTTAGTTAAAATTTAATAACCAAAAAAAATATTTGTAGAAAGAAATTAACATTGAGATTTTGGAAACTATTAAAATCAACATTTAGATTTTAATTAGAAGATATTTATGAATATATTTAAATTTAAATATTAAAAGAAAAGAAAGTCCAAGTATAGAGGACATGTTGTGATGTCATGTGACTGGACCACATCCAAAAAAGACATCTAAAATTCCAATGCCTAAATTAAATATAAGATTGAGATGGGGACAAAAAGAATATCTCTGCAAACAACCATCCAAAAAACAATTAAAAAGAAAATTAACGTGCATAAAAAATTGGTTAGTATGTATAAAATCAAATAGCCACGGTAGATTTGATGCGTTGACGGTCGCTATCTATAACTAAAATACTTCAACCGCGCCGCTTTATTAATGTACATTTCAATCATCATCAATCCCCGTTACATCATCAACCGCCTTAACAAATCATTGTAAAAGTTCAAAAGAACTACTAAAAGTTTTAAAGGTGAAAATATTAAAGAATTTACGTTATTTAGATAAATTTTTATATTTTTATTATATTTAAATAAATTTTTATTTTTTGATTTATATCAAAATATATTATTATTTCAAATAAAATATTAATTTATGTTAATAATTTATTTAAGCATAAATTAAATTTTAAATATTTATTTGAATTTGTAAAATCTTTTTAAGGTATATAAAACTTAATTTGGTGATTGGTTCATATTTTTATTTAAAAAAATACTTTTTTTAAATAAAAAATATTTATAAAAAACATTCGCAGACAAAATCAAACTTTTTTTTTGTCTTATAATAGAAATAAAATTTGTGATGGTACGATTAGAAAAGAAAAAAGAAAGAAATAATTAAGGTGGATAAAAGGCTTTTGGGCGAAACAAATTGGAAGAAATAAAAAGGGGCTGGAGGTATTGAGTGAAGTTAGAAGAAACAAAAGGATAAAGCGTAACACTCATTAATCAAACCAGAGTCGGAGGCGAGTCTTTCTACTAGTAAGCAAATCAAACCCACGCGATGCCCACGCGCTCTTTTCTCTGTCTTCCATTCCAAGAAACAGCTTGTTCTCAACAATCACAGCTGTTGTCTGCTCACCAACTCAGCAAACTCTACCTCATTCCCCCACTCTCTTTTTTAAGCGCCGATAGCCAAACACTCTCTTCGTTTCTCCATCCCTTTCCTTTTTTTTTCCTCTCTTCTGAGTTGAGATCCACTGTTTCCCCCCAAGCTCAGTCCGCGTCAATCCAGTCAAGATTCTTCCTCACTTACATTGTAAATATTCTTCGTATTTCCTTTCGACTTCTCTCTCTCTCTCAAGACTTACTGCTATTTGTCTAAATCTTGTTTTGGGGAGCCAAGATCCGTTAACTCGTGTTTTTGTGACTCGGCTCCGGTTTAAACCGACTTCAAGATTTGGTAAAATTGCGATTTATTTCGAGATCCATGAACTCGTTTTTTAGACTCAGTCCGAGTTCAGAACAAATCGAGGATAGTGCTGAGTTGTGGTGACAATAGAATAGAGGCATCCTGTGAGAATTAGGCTTTTGAAAAAAATTTGAACTTTAGGGTTAACGAATGGCTGCTGTGCGAAGGTGGAGCGAGGGCATGTCCTCAGATAATGTTAAGGGTTTGGTTTTAGCGCTTTCTTCCAGTTTATTTATTGGGGCAAGTTTCATTGTTAAGAAAAAAGGTTTGAAGAAAGCCGGTGCTTCTGGTATCAGGGCAGGTACAACAATTTATCAAATTTATAATTTTTTATTTTCTTTCTTTTTTTGATGATTGGATTTGGGATTTTTGTTTTATTTTTTCCTGTAGTGGAAAATAGCAACTAGGTTTAAAATAGTTCCCAGTGTTTGTAGTTGGATCATGTGAAGAATAATAGTTTATGAATCCTTTGCACTTGGTTTGCTTGGCATATTTGATTTATACGTCTCTTAATTTATTGATTATAAACTGTTTAAGAAATATGGCGCTATTATCCTTAATCTGTAAAAGTAAGGTACAATATCTCTTAATAGGATGCAACTGGAGAAAATGATATGATTGGATCCTTCAAATTCCATATACTTGTTGGTTTTGCATGTATATTTTGTTGCAATTGAATAAATTTTGTTTCTGTTGATGACATGACTGTGACTGTTGCTCAAATTGTTGTGTTGCCTTGCAAAGCACATTTCTTTTTGTATCTTCTTAATTGTCTAAAGAACTCTTGGGATGCATTTGCTTTGATTTAGTGCTTGTTCACTTTTCGTTCTTTATGAGGAGTCTTCTTTTGCACTTATGCATTGCACGGTGCCGTTGACATTGATTTTATTGGTTTTTATGCAGGAGTTGGAGGGTATTCTTACTTGCTTGAGCCACTTTGGTGGGCAGGCATGATAACAAGTAAGTTTTATGGATTCCTCATCGATCATTAACTCAATATCTTATGGATTTTTCATTCCTATTGGGAATCTCCTTCTTTATTTGCCTTTTCTCATTTTTCTTCCTACCTAAATATTATCCCTAAAAGACAATGTTCTAAAAGCTATGTTGCATCTTTTAAAAATGGGATGATCTTGTCAATGTTTTATTTTGCATCTATGGAAAGATAATTTTCTTAGTTTCATTCTATACTTACATCTTAGTGTTTAGGGACTAATCAAACTGTGCAGTCTTTTTAAATGCAGTGAGTTGTTTGAGTTTCTTATGGTTCATGCTTCTACAAGAAAAAGTAGTTAACTCTAATTGGTAATTGGCTTTTCAACAGTGGTTGTGGGGGAAATTGCTAATTTTGCAGCCTATGCATTTGCACCAGCTATACTGGTTACTCCACTTGGTGCCCTTAGCATCATTATCAGGCATGGAAATATTTCACTGAGACTCAGGTTTGGCATTTTATTGTTGATTGCTAATTATCACTTCTCTTGCAGTGCGGCACTTGCCCATATCATTTTACGGGAAAGGTTACATACTTTTGGGATTCTTGGTTGTGTTTTGTGTGTCGTGGGCTCTACAACAATTGTTTTGCATGCTCCCCCAGAACGTCAGATTGAATCTGTAACAGAAGTTTGGGATCTTGCTACAGAGCCAGGTGGCATTTTGTTAATAATGCTTTTATCTCTGAACATTGCTTTAGGCTCCAAATTTTTGAACTGCAAAGAAAGAAAATGATCTTAATTCCTCTTTGATCCTCTTGCAGGGTTCCTCTTTTACACAGCTTTGGTATTAACAGCTGTTTTTATACTTATATTCCACTTTGTTCCACTATATGGACAGACGCACATTATGGTTTATATTGGAGTATGCTCTCTCGTGGGTTCCATATCGGTATGCATCAGTATCAGCCTGTTGGTAACTTAATTTTGTTTGCATTCCAATTGTTTTGCCTTCTTTAAGGATTGTTATTTCTGAGAGTGTTCTTTGACAGGTCATGAGTGTTAAAGCACTTGGTATAGCCTTGAAGTTAACCTTTTCAGGAATGAATCAGCTTGTATATCCACAAACATGGGCATTTACTTTAGTTGTGGTTACTTGTGTGCTTACTCAAATGAATTATTTAAACAAGGTAATGGATACTCCTTGTCCTTTTTTTTTGCTTTGGTTCCTCTCTTTTTCTCGTTGTCTTTCAAGTAACTCATCAAAGAAAGGAAATCAGAGAGAAATGTGGGGCATGTGAAGAGAAAAAACAATGAAATTTTATCATTTTACTTCAAAGTCTGTTTCATCTAAATTTTGAACAATTTATAGGAAGGGTATTTTGGAATTTTTCATTTTTTGAAGACCGCTAAGTTAACAAACGTGATTTTGAAATTTGACTTGATTACTACCTTTATACATGGTATAAATTCTATGCTTGTGGATATACCTGTTCATGTTGTCTCAATCATTAGGTTAAATTATTTGAAATTTATCCATTTATGCATTTCTTACTCCGAGAATCAATGTTCCCTTACCTTCATTTTGTGTTGCCCATGTTTGCTGAATTAAGACGTCTGTTTCACCCTCTGCTTCTTGTTTTTGTCTTCATAATTGCAGGCACTTGATACTTTCAACACAGCTGTTGTTTCTCCCATATACTATGTTATGTTCACATCATTGACCATTTTGGCTAGTGTAATCATGTTTAAGGTAATTTCGAGTCATTTATGGTATCAGTTAGTTTAAAAGTTTATCAAAATTATAATGTTCAACAGATCTTACTTTATGCTCTATTCTGTCTTCCATACAAGCCTCATCCCAATTGATTTGTCTACACAGTGCAATGAGTTGCTTGATCCTATATGTAATGTGTATGCTTTTCAAAGTGAAAGGGAATTCTATGTGTAGAAGTGCAGATTGTTTTTGTCATTCAAGATGTTGTAACCAACATTTCCAAGTTTCGATTCCTTTGTTCAATTTCATATGGTGACCCTGGTTGTGACTGTTGCAATATGAAATTAAACTTGTAGCTTGCTACTGAACCCTTTGTGCTGCTTTCTCATCTTTTTCTCTATTTTAAAATTAAAAATTTGACTTAAATTACTCTATAACTGCTTACTAGTTAGTATTTTTATTATTTGGATTGACCTTGAAATTACCATATTGAAATTTAAATTTCTGTTATCAGGATTGGGACAGGCAGAATCCAACACAGATCATAACAGAAATGTGTGGATTTGTGACTATCCTTTCAGGAACTTTTCTTCTGCATAAAACCAAGGATATGGTTGATGGTATGTTCTTGTGAACCTTGCATTGTGAATTTACTCTCAATCATTCATAATGACCAATTACCACCTGTTAGCACAGGAAACATGTTGCTGAATTACTTTGTTGAAGCTTTTATGTACCTAAGAAAATATATATCATTTTATTTTTGGCATTTGAAACATTTGATGAATTATGTTTAATCAGGTCCAAGTTTGACAACATCTTTGTCTATGCGATCATTAAAGCATGAAGAAGAGGATGGCTTTGGTGAAAGCTTCCCTCTTAAGCGGCAAGATTCATCGAGAATACCTTAATTGAAATTTGAGTTCATAGCTACCATTCCTACAAAGCTCAATAGCTTCCGGGGAGAATCCTCGTGGATGTCAACTTGTATTTTATGACCAACTTATTCAATCTTATTCATTTTTTGGAGGCAGTTGGAGGAGGTGAAATTTGATTTGGCTGGCTTCTTTTCCCTTTGGCACAAAGGTGAGACTATAGATTTCAGCTTTTGCCTTGTATACACCATCCCCATTTCATACAGGAAATATGTTCAATGTAATCTTGAGCACGGTGGTTATACATAGTGTTATCTTTTGCTTTGTTCTGCCAGAAAGGAATCAAATAGATCTATGTCTATTGCATTTTTCATTTGTTTGAAATGCCAGCTGACTGCTGAAATCCTCTCTGTCTCTCTGTCTCTGTCTCTGTCTCTCTGTGTGTGTGTGTGTGTGTGTTTATTGACCTCTCAAAAAGGAAAAGTATAAGAAGGGGTGGAGTATTGGTTTATCATAACTTAGTTGACAAAGGCATTTTATGTTAGTAACAAAAAAATAAAATAAAATTTTGAGATAGAATCTTACATTTGCCAAGAATGTGAGAAGTAATTATTCTATTAACCTCCATTTGCCAAAAGAAAAAAGTTAGTACAGATCATTGGTATGCGAAAAGCTACCGCTTGAATTTCAGATGCGATCGTAAGATGAAAGCCACAGCTTCAATATCAAGCTCATAGTTAATACAGCGTTGGATGCTGCTCAGCTTGCCGCTCAAACACGCATAATCCATAGTATAGTCGACCCCAATATCCAAAGGAACGAGAAATGCTGGCCAGGAATTCACAAGCAGGAGCAAAGTCAACTAAAGGTAATGCATATGCTAATACCGCTTGAAACATCAAAATATACTATCAAATGGTGTGTTATACACCAATTTCTGCGTCTAGTGCATTATCTGCTTCCGGAAACAACCTAAAACCTCAAGAACTAAGACAATTGTTTTACGGAAGTTGTAGAAACCAAAGTGAATAAACAGACAAATTGAATGGCATTCAGTCTGAATGAATGAATGAGCATGGAAATCATGGTCCCTCTCACATTCACTTGGCTATTTGCTTTAGCAGAGCAGACACAGAAGCACAATGGGTGGAGTTATAATTGCATTTCTCGCAGCAAGATTGCAGCAGCTCAATGACTTTTCGGCACCTACATGATCATTTCAAAACATTTATCAAAACTGAGAAATCATGGATCGCCACAACATAACACACTCTGATCCATCCAATCACACATCTGATCCAAGTGGAACACGAGAAAATCATCCTCTGCTCCAGAAACCATTTCAAAAATCTAATACAGACACGATACAGATGTTCATTCCTTATTAGTTCATTGGTAAGCCAACACTGGTGTTGTAGTAGATGACAAGCTAAACAGATGGAAACATATATCAGGACATATCTGTTTTACATAATTTATTTTTGTTCTAATCCGTAGTCTGTAAGAGGATCCATCCCTTTAATTAGAATTAATCAACAAACAAATCAAGGTTCCTTGATCAAGTTCTAAATTAGCAGTAACAAAGAGTGAGATGGTGCAAACCCAAACATACCCAAAACTAATCATTTTCTAAATCACTCCCGAAAATCAGAGGATGCAAAACAAAAAGTACCCATCTTTACCTTTGAGGAAGGAAATTGTTCTTGGAAAGACAAGCTTGGATATCGCAAGCCTCCTTCTTGCAAGGCTCTTTGCTTGGCTGTGCCATCACTCTGTTTCTCTTGGTTGATTTCTCCCCTAAAAAAAACACAAAAAATCTCGGCTTTGAAATTTTGAAAAAAAAAAATGTTGCTCTTACTTTGATTATGCTGAAGAAGAACCTTGAAGAGAAGTGGCAGCTAAACCCGGTTTCATACCTCTTCAAGTTCAACTCTTCAAATTAAACCCAATTCCAAAGCTGCCTGGGTAAGCCCATACATGGCCCAATTGGATTCAAGACTTTGGCCCGTCACTTTACGTTTGCTTATCTATTGATCAAAGCTCTTAAAGCCTCAAAAGCAAAGTCCTGTCTGTCAAAACTCTGAGTGGGAAGCCTTTGAAAGCGCTCTTCTATCTCTCTCCGATTATCAGATGGAAAACATTAAACCCTTAATTGAAATTACGAGAACGAAATTAAAGCAAGCATCGCTTTTATGGGCGGATGGTTTTAGAGAAGCCTGTTGCCTTCATAGAGTTATCGTTCTCTGCCACAGGTTTCTTCTCTCCTCAATTGCGTTGCTTTCACGCTTTGTTTTCAGCCAATTAATCACCTTTATTTTTCTTTTCCCGGTGACCAAAAAACTGGGTTCTTGACAAAAATTTATATTTTTTATTTTATTTAAATGGGTTTTTTTTGGCAGGTCGAGACAGCTTTTGATTAGAACCGGACAGTGTTTTCTTTTAAATGGCTTCATTTTCTTAGGAAGGTAATTCCTTTATTAGTTTAAAGCTTTCGCCGAGTTGCCTTTTCTTTGTGTGTGATTGCTGGTTGGTGCTTGGTTATTTGTAATTTTGCTTGTTTTTTGGATTATTTTGAACTTTTTTTTCGAATTATTTTAAACTTTTTTTTTCTTTTTCAGTTTGTTTGTCCTAAACTCGGTTGTTATCCCAATACTACAATGGATATTGCCTGACGAGTTCTCGCAGATCGGTTGTGAAGAAATGTCTGAATTCCATGGTGTCTTAAAATTTTACTCCTTACGTGGTTTTCTAATACAACTATTTTATGTAAGTGGTTACCGTCGATATAATCTAAACCATTCCAATTTGATGGCATTCAATTAGTTATTGAATCTATATGTAGTTTTCTTTTTGGGCTGGTCCCTTCCAATGTTAATTTTATTTTTCATTTTGCTATTTGTAAAAGAGAGTTCCTTTATAGTCTTTTAGCATTCAAACGAAGTTAAGATGCTAATGTTTGCTTTAATGGAATTGCGTTGATTTGTGTTAGAGGAAAATCCAACTTAGTCTCCACACTGCTCCTGCAAATCCCCCTACCATTGCAATTTACCGTGTCATTTTAATCATTCAGTCCTTCCTCATTATGATATTCCATTAATCATGATCATACCCTGCAACCAAACTAGTGTCATTGCTACTTTCGCCATGACCACCTTCATGATTGCCATTGCTATATTTTATCCCCACCATTAAACTTGGTTCCGGAACAGCGTGCTCTGTGCTTCATTGCTACAACCAACATAATCAGCACTAGCCAATTCCTACAAATAACAGGACTTTATCACAACCATACCATTGACATTGTTGCCCTTTTTGTATGTGCTATGGCAGCTGCTGTTAATCTTGGGCCTTTTTAGTAGACTTTAGCTTTTGTCCAAGTCATTGCTGAGACAATAGCTTTTCTTGCAGCTTCATGCACAAAACATATTATATGTTGAAAGGGTTTTAGAAATGAAACCATGTTTCTTCTCTCCTGTGGTTTTGGTCTTTCTATGACAAGTTAGCTTTCCTCAAACCAAATATCTTCACCTGTTTAATTATCATCTGCAGGTATTTTGGTTCTATCCCTTGTACGTCTTCAGCTTTATTCTGAGCAATCTCTGGTACTATTCTCATCCCATCCTGCTTTATTTGTTTCTTCATTTTGTCATATTAACCTGATTACTATAGATATTGGTTAAACGTACTTTGGCTAAACATCCTCTCCTTTAGAAGTTCATCATGCAACTGAAGACCTTTTTCTGTCCCATGATGAACTGTCAGATCCAAGTGGACCTTCTTAGCCTGTAATTGTTTATATTATCAGAAGGAATTTAAAGTGAATGTTGAAGTTTCCCATTTGTTATGTGTTTCTGTTATTCATTTGTGTTGTTTGAAATCTTTTCTTTCAAATATTTATTTCTGTTTTGATATATTTCAGTTGAACTAAATAATGTCTTGGTTCAGGTACAATGACATTGCTAAGCATGGTTTTGCTGCAATGGGGAGATCTGGGCCTTCTGTGGTGGAATCCTCAAAACAAAATGATGCATTGACCTCACACAGCAAAGTGCATGCGGCAAGGCCTGCTGGCCTTGGAGGGTACTAATCAACTGTGGCCATTCTTCTTAATCAAACTATTAAACCTCATATAGATGTCTAAGCCCGGTTTCATTCTATGTTTTCCTGCAGGATCATGATTGGAATAGGGGAGCAGGTATATTCAGTGCTTCTTTTGAATTTCTTTTTCTTAGAGGTAAAATTCTTTGTCTATATTTTATTTTTTTTGTTTTTTACTTGTTAAATAGGTAGTGATCATCTTACTTTCTATTTATAGAAGCATTTATTATCAACTATTATGTTTTAATTTCTTTTACCTTTTTCCCCTTTATGAAGTTGTCTATGCATTTTGGATAACATACGTATATCCTTTACAATTTATGTGTAGGTTTATGCCACAGGATTTATACCCTATGTTGGAAAGGCACTCAATTTCCTACTTCTTTCTTGGATGTATGCGTACTACTGTTTCGAGTATGTGGTAAAACAAGCATTTGCTGTCTAACTTTTTGCACTTGGTATAAGCTAAATAATGGCTAAGTAACTTTTGAACTTCTTAGGTACAAATGGAACTTCTCCGAATTGGGTCTGGACAAAAGGCTGGACTTCTTTGAAACTAATTGGGCTTTCTTTGCTGGTTTTGGTAATTACTTTTCACTTTAGATGGCTGTCACTTGTAAAATGTGAAGTTTTTTTTTTATTTCACCTCTTGGCAGTTAGCTGTTATGGAAGTAAAAAGAACCTAAAAAACATTATACTTTACAAGTTGAAAAAAGCAATTAGGGAACTCTTGTTGAACGGGCAGCTATATCATGTACGAAATCACTGATGTTTTAATTGGCTTTTCAGGAAGCCCTTGTGTTCTGGCAATTTTCTTTTTCTCACCTCTCGTGAGCTATGGTGTGATGGCCATACTCTTTCCTCTGGTATGTCTTGACCCCTTATTTTGTTCTTTTGGTGATTATAAAAATTCAAATTTTCTTTCCTGAATACTTGATGGTCTTAACATGCCTGTCTTTCAGTTTGTTCTTACTGCAACAGGCACAGATGCAGAGCAAGTTATTTCAACTCAAAGAAGAAGATGGAGTTGTGCAGGCTTAGGGAAGCTTCCGGTATTTTATGTAGTCGATACTTTACTGTGAGCAACCGGCTTTAATTAGCTTTATTTTTTACTCAAACACTTCATTGTACCATAGAATTCATTTGCAAGTGAAATGCATTCGATTTCCACTTTCTCGTAAAGATGTTAGATATAGGATATTACTTGCAATATAAAGTACCATGACAGTTTAAATAGGAGGACATTCATTTTGTTTAAAATTTTGATGCAATCCTGGGAGGCTTAATCTCTACTTGTCGTGACCTGTGTTTCTCTAGGATGCGGGTCTTGTCCCTCTTCTCATTGGAATCTCAAGAACAAGTTCAAGACAACAAGACACTATAACAATTTCTGGCTTATGCTCTCCCAACTTGTTGACAGTAAGTCCATTTCTACAAGCTAGACAGAAAAAAGTTCTTGGACCTATTATCTCTTTTTATCATGTTCTTGCATGTACTAAACCTTTCATTGGATCATATGTTTCTTTCATTTCTATTATTATATTCTAAAAGTTTCATCACCTAATCATGCTTCCAACTTAGCTTCTCTCATAATTTTGTTTGTCATCTGATGAAACAGGTTGTAAATATTTGACTGGCAGTTGTCCTAAAATTTGCACAACACTGCCATGGCTCTCAGCATTTCTCTTTTTTTTTTTTTTTTTTTTTACTTCTGTATAATAGAAGTGCAGAAATGTATAATATAATGGTTACTGCCCCTTTCTAAGATTATCAGAAATGTGTACAGTAATTTGAATCATACTTATAAAATATATAGTAACTCTTAATTATATGTCTTTTATAGCAATATTTGAAAATTTTCATGTTGTGGATATATTTTGTTTTTGTTGAGGCTTTAATAAATCGACTATGAAGAAATTTGTTCTTAAACTAGGCAAATATTTTCGTTTTTTTTTTTTTTTTAGATCTGATAATTTTAAATAAAATATATGATTAATATGAAAAAAAAATGATATGATTTAAATTTTAATAAATATTATATATAAATTTGTTTAAAGATAATAATGTATTTCCTATCGCTTTTGTCTTTTTTGGAACGGAAACCTCACTTACTGAGCTAATGATTGGGACACGTGTAATACTGAAGACCAAAACTTAATGCAAAAAATTGAAAAAAACTCCTGACCGGCCATCCATTTTTCTTTGCCATGTCCTTACTGAAAAAGGTAATCTTACCTTAAGCTTACAACATTAAAATTTGAAAATATTAGGCAAAATATGTTGCGAAATTTACGGCATAGTGGAACACTGACCAATGCCCAAATTTTCTTTTCTTTTCTTTTTTTTTTTTTTTTTTAAGTAAAGTAAAAAGAGTGGGGAATATTCTTAGTATATTGTTAGTGGTACTCTTTTTTTTTTTTTTTAATAAAAGTTTATAAAAGTCGAAGTTTGTCCGCTGTACAGCGAGATTAGCGCATTAATGGACTGGATTGACTTGAAATCTAATATATGTGACTTTTAGTTAATTTTGACCTTAAATTCTATGACTTATTTATGGGATTATTAGATTTAAAAAGGTTTTTTTTTTTTAATAAAAGATGCATTTGAAGATAAAAAAATTTTAATGTTAAATTTAAAATTTAAAATTATTACATATCAATTATTAAAAATAATTACATGTTAAACTTTGAATTAAAAAAAAAACTTTTATAAACACAAAAAAAATGTATGGAAAAATTTAAGTGCCAATAATAATAATAATAATAGGTCTTTTTTATTTAGATCTGATAATTTAATTTTTGTGATGTGTAAAATATTAATAATTTGTATATTTATATTATATTTTACACAAAATATATCATAATTGGTATTGATATGAAAATATAAAATTTTTTTTATTTTATTAAATTTATATATATTTTTTCTTAAAATTTTAAATTGTATTATTTTTATTTTTTTATTATTTTCCTATAGTATTAACTTATTATATTTTAGATTTTCATGTCTATTTTTATTGGTACTAACTTCACATGTGAAAGTTTCAATGAACATTTGAAATTGAATAGTCATAAAAATTCCTAATTATTTTTAGACTTTAATGATGATTAGCAGGGACACTCACATGGTTGTCTGTCAGGGGGCACATTAACTTGGCTGCACCATTAACTTGAATGTAGTGAGATTTTCATTAGTAAAGCTAAAAAATCAGAATATTTATCATATAACTTCCAATCTCAACCTTTGTTTTAAAGATTAAAATTAGAGCTTCTTTGACTGTGATGAATTCTTTCTTTTGTGTTTGATTAGAAAACAAAATTAAATCAATGTTAATTAGCGTTTAATGCGGAAACGAGCAGCCAAACTTGATGGGGTCAGAACATAAATAGCAACAAATCCTGACGAGTGGTAATGCAAAAAAAAATGATCAAAATGGTGTGGAGAAAATGATTAAGCAATGAAAACAAGAACGTCATATGAAAGAAATTGCACAAGTCAAAACAAAAGTGATTCTGGGTTTTGCAAGAAAACTGAAAAAAAAAAAAAAAAAGGGAAAGTACATGGGAGAGTGGGTTTGCACTTTGCAATTTAATAGAACTCAATGGATCAAAGTCATCTTCAAAATACACAAAGGTTATTGCATCTCCTAAATCTTTCTTCAGTACAAAGCCTTAAATGTAAAAAGGTTCTCAAAATCCAAGAAAATAAATTTAATTCTTTCCCCATTTAGAAAAAAATTATAGCATCGACATTGATTAATGGTATAAAACATTCTCATTTCATTTATTTCCAGTTTTTTTGAATTTGTATTGATGTTTTAAGCAGTTTGGTGCGTTGGCAAGCAAAATCCCAAGTAAAATAAGCTTTTTTTTTCCTGGAAATCAGGGAAACCAGACAGGAGAAGTGGGGCTGCTTAGTTTAAAAAACATGAAGCATGCCTAATTTCCCAGGCAGAAAATACTGATGAGGAAAGCAAGGCATGGATATGCTTTCAGTATGTAATAATAATAACACTAAATAAAAAGTAATTTTTATTATAGGGAAGTTGAAAGACAGCTTAAAAAATGGCAATGTCTCGGAAGGTAAAAGAAAAAAAAAACCAAATTGACATGCTTTCTGGATCTCTTTGAAACTTGAGAAGGAAAGGGGTAAATAGACTCTTTATGGAATTGTTTAATCTCTCTTCACAAATAAAGCTTTTCTTCAATTCTTCTCTGTCCATTTCTTTTAGATTACTTTCTGAAGAAGTTCAGGCTTATAGTTCATAGTTCATAGTTCATACTTCACACCAACAAGCTGGTTTTCCACCAATTCAATGAAAATGATAAGCTAATGCCCTTCTGTTCATTTCTATATTTTGCCGATTTGAAAGAGATAGATTCATTGAAGGAGGTAGAGAAGGAACAAGAAAACAAATCATGCAAAAACTAATAATTTATAACAAAACAATTGAGTTTTTTTTTTTTTGTTTACCTCAATTCATTTTGTTTTCGTTATTTTGTTTTTTGTTTTTTTTTTCAAATTCCTCATACAAACAAAGCAAATGATAGCAATAATATTGTAATCAACACAAACAAATATCCTCCTATACAAACAACTCTCTCTCATTCCTGTTCCCTATGATCAGGTCCCATTCGGACAACAACTGAAATTACAAAGCCAAACTTCACCACATCAAAACCTAGCTACAAAAATTCAAAAATCAAAATCAAATGAACAAACAAAACCTAACAATGGCACCTAATAGAACCTTAATTTCTCTCCAGATGACAATCCACTAAAATGTTTCATGCACTCAGCTCATCACAAACTTCACGTTCCACATCTGCATAAACAAACCCAGAAATCTCTAGTTCCTGCTCCTATATAATCGAATGTATTTTCTTAAAGAAAAAAAAAATCAAAGGCATCAATCTTTCATATATGGGAATTAAAAGCCTACTAACCAACTTGTAAATTTAATTCTCTGGCCATCATTGAGAATTATTTGGGTCTTCATCTCCACTATCTGTACCTTGAAGCTGGTGTTGAGGATGTTCCAGTGGATTATTTTGCTCTGAATTAATATTTGAACCACCTCTAGAATAGGCATTAAGAGCAGCCAACATGCCCAAATTAGACTCAGACATTCCTAACCCAAGATGCTGAGAAGGTTGTTGCTGCATTAACATCGAACCCAATTGCAAAGGACTCGCTCGACCACCTTGGAATTCAACATTACCTGGAAGATTAAATCTTGGTACAAAATGTAATGGTGCTTGCAATGTATTCCCACTTGCTGGACTTGCTGTTCCAAAAGGCCACATCTGGGGTTGATCAGAAGGACCAGCCCCGGATGCACCTGTGGCCACTGACGGGCCACCAGCACCAGCAGTCACGGGCAGCATCCAAAACGTACTTCCCGCTCCACTGCTAGGAGCTGGTGCCACGGCCCACATGGCAGTGCCGGGCAGGATATTTGATGGCCGAAGTAGGCCCGAAGATCCAGTATCTTGTTGTGGTTTAGGCAATTGACTTAAACCACTTTTAAAAGCCTTAATAGGGGATCCGTCTCCGCTCCCACCTCCGCCGCCACTACCACTTGCACCTTGTTGCTGATTATCATCCTTAAACAAGTCCTCTCTAAAACGTTTCCTCATATAATTCTCACTTGAATTTCCACTATCTCCACCACCACCACCACCTCCTCCAGGTAAAGCCTCAGCTATTTGATCTGCTGTTAGAAGATGATGTTGCTGTTGCTGCTGCTGCTGCTGGTGAAAACCCAACAAAGCGCTATGAGAAAACCCTACTTCATAAGGGTGATGATGATGAGAAGCCAAAGCTAAAGCATTATGAAACGAGTGAGGAGCAGATTTTGAAGGTGGTGCTGAAAGCGTGGATCCACTACTTCTTAACGAAACATTAAGAGATGAAAAATTGGCTGGTATAGTACCAGTTCCAGTGGCTGCTATTATCGCTGGTTCAGCTTGTTGTAAAAGCCATTCAATCGTTTCCCCATCAGATTTATGACCTAATTCTCTTGTCAATTGAAAAACCCTAGCCGCACAAGTAGCTGGCATTCTGATACGGCGGCCGCGACCATCGACTTTGGTGTGGCGATCCTTGGTGCAGCGTTTCACTGGTGGGTTAGCTGTGGTCGTCGTTGTTGGTGTCGTAGTCGTCGTAGATGAAAGTGGCAAGTTTGGTTCATTCTTCTTTGTGGAATCGATGTTGAGAGAAGTAGATCTGGTAGCAATAGCAAGAGAAGCGTCAACGAGTTGAGGTGGGTTGGTTGTAGTGGTAGAAATTGAAGAAGAGGAAGAGGAGGAAGAAGAAGAGGAGAGAGGCGACGTTGTTGTTGTCGTAGCTGTGGAAGAAGGAGGATGAAGAAGATGGTGGTGATGGTGGGGGTGAAGGTGAGAGATGGAGCCCATATCAAAAGGGTGGCCAGAAGAAGGAGCTGAAGATCTGGTGCCATCAAAAGGGACCCCAAAGTGAGGAGAAGATGACTGTTTTTGATGCTGGAAGTGGTGGTGGTGGTGCTGCTGATGATGGTGGTGGATAGACTGATGGTGGGGTTCTGTAGAATTGTCGTTAGTGTTGTTGGTTTGCTTATTGCTTTGCAAATCTGTGAGTTCCATTTGGTGGGGTTTCCAGGTTTTGAAAGGGGTGATTTTTATTTTTATACTAAAATGTTTTTTTGATTTTTGATTTCAAAGTTGATCCATCGTCAACCCCATCTTTTCTCTTGTTCTCGGTCTCTCCAAGTCATCTTTGTTTTCGAGAGACAGAGAGAGAGAAAGTGTTAATGTTTTTTGCAGGGTCTGGACCTAAGTAGGACTAAGAGTTTGTGGGGTTCTTTTGCTTTCTGAACAACTGTTGTCTTTGCCTGAGCTAAGAGAGAGAGGAGCGCAGGCTAAGAGGCTGGCTTTAGATAGAAGCAGGTGGGGGACCTAGTGGGGGCGAAAAAATGTAGCAGAAGTCCACTCGTGGGGTCTCGTAAAGGAATGTTAAAAATCGGCCTTTGTTTTTACAAACAAAAATATACCCCCTTCCCCAGCTCAGCTATGTCCACTCCCATGAGTTTCACAATCTAGACTTCCACTTTGAAGTGTTCCATAATGTAAAACTCCCATTCTATCCTTAGTTTCATTCGACAAAGCCTGTCTACTTTGTGGACAACATTGTCTTTGTCCTTTCACCAGTTGTTTCAGACAGAGATTGATGTGCCCAGATCATTTGTCTGAATATACTTCCAAACTTTACCTCTAATCCTCTCTATATATACTCCACGATGGACAAACGAGATCTCATTTTCACCCCGTCTATCTCTGTTATTTTTTTTCACTAACTCCTGCTGATCATGTGCAGAAAAAGCACTCTTTTGCAGATCACCAGGAAAAATACAGGACACAAACTTTTTTTTGGGGGGTTTCAACTCTTTTCTTTGGCTTTTGAAATCCTGGCGTTGTTAAATTTTCTTTGTTTCCAATTAAGGTTTACAAGAGAGTGAATTATGACCAAAAAAATTTTTTTGTGGCTTTAATAAAAGAGAAAAGGTGTTGTGGTAAATAAGAGAAGAGGCCGAAGAGGGTGTTTGAGAGAGTCCAGGGGCATGCAGATGCAGTCAGTAACTGGGCAGTTCAGGTAAGCATTAGATACAGCATCTAATGCAGTAGGACAGCTCATCCCAAACCAACCCCACAGTCTGTTATCTTTCTATTTTTTTTATTTATTTGTCTTTTTCTTTTGGATTGCTGTCAACATGGGCACCCCCCTCCTTTGATAAGCTGTCAACTTATTTTTTGTTAAAAGACCAAATGGCCTTCTTACACATATCATGGGAAGTGGGAAGAGGCCAAACTCCAACGTGTTTAATGAAAAAAAACTACTAGTTTTCTATACACACATTTCTAATACATATTAAAACATTAAATTATGAAAGGGGTTAATCCAAAAACAATAAATGGAGAAAAAATGAAGATAAGGTAAGATAGAAAACAACAATATTTTAACATGTGCTATTTAGAAACTAGACCTTTGTTAAATTTGTTTCTTTCTACAATTAAACATTGTACTTGGGTATTGATAGAAGAATTTTAATTTATACTATTATTTTACAAAAATAATATCTAGTAAATATAATATTTAAATTTTAATATTTATTCTTTTATAAAAAATAACAATAGAAAAAACAAAACTTAAAATGTAAGTAGTAGTACTACTTTTTTTAGTTAAAGTTTGTCAATTTTCATATGTTGTTGCATGCGCGAATAAAATCCATGAAAAAGCTGCAATTTGAAATGCAAAAAACATCTGTCACTGCACATTTCAGATCTCTTTCAGCAAAACTACAAAAAAATATTAATGCAAAGTGATTAAACCCTAATGTTTGTGCATGAATCATGGTGCTAGCTGGTTTTGACCATGCACCAATTAAAAGTTATACTTATATAAATTTACATGTACGTATCTTCCTTCCCCAGTTCACATATCAAACACAATAAATTATTTCTAAAGGTATACTTTCCAGAATTCATAGTACTTAAAAATTAGACAAAAGAATGGAGTTTTGGGTATAATGTTATGTCTTTGCCAAAGTACAGTTTTCTCTACTCATCATTAGGTTTAAAAAGCCCCTTGGAAGTGGAGGTGCCCACATCATTCCAACTTTCCTTGTAGCTCAAACAAACAAAAAGTAAAACAAATAAGTATTACTACTATTATTATAATCTCACAGCACTAATCAGCCAGCCAGTACCCACATCGACCCTCTTTTTTCCTTCAAAAAAAAAAAAGTTCCAATTTGAACAGATAATCATCTTATCTATTTATTATCAATTCCTTTAATAACCATACAAATCCGACCCACATCTTTGTTCCTATCATCTTAAACAATATTTAATTCAACCAATAATTTTAAAATAGTGAAGACCCATAGATTTTTGCTTTCTCCCTCTCATTTAGAAGTTGCAAAACTTACCCATGTTATAGTTAATTTCCTCACAATTATTATTTTAATATTTGAAGTTATAGAGATTTAATTTTACTTATTAATTAAAATTTTGATATTTTATCAATAAATTATATAATTATTAATGATATTTGAAATTTAATTTAATGATAAATATATATTCTCAATTAAAATTAGAATCTAAATTTCTCTTCTTTCAAAATTAAAAAAAAATCCTTCTCTTAAGATATAAGATTTGGATTTATATCAAATTATGAATAAGGACATTTAGAACGGGGATATAGATGTGAACAAGAGTAAGGATTGTTTGCAATTAAATTTACTGTAATGCTTGACAGGCAAAGACAGTGGTCACAGTGGGAATTACTATTCATACATCATACTCTCTTTGTTTGGTGCTCCATGGAAAACGGGGTTCTTGATAAAGACCTCTCCGATCCTTTTCTTTTCTTTTTCAATTTATCTATTTTCCTCTTCAATACTATTCCAACTAACAAATTCAATTTTAAATTAATTCACAGTCCAAAATAATGGTGGTGTCACAGCGCTGTCAGAATTATTCAGCCCTTACACATTTGGACTGGTTTCTCATTAAAGGCCTCTTAATTATTCATGCACTCTTTTGTCAAATTAATTTTTACCATAGCCTATTAGCCTACCTTCGTCAATGACATTTTTCATTTCTTTCTGTTCCCATTAACTTTACCCTTTTGTCCTTTTACTTCTTTTCCTTCTAAAAAACAGTGAAAACACAATCAAGAAACTGCCAGGCTTCACTGACTTCACAGTAAATTTAGATCCGCCTCCCCTTAAATGGACTGTAAAAGTTAAATTGCAGTAAATAAATAAGCTTTAGAGAATGATACTTGCATTTGGGTACATTGGTTTTTCACTCCATAAGTAGAAAAAAAAAAGAAAAAGAAAATTTACATGCATCATTGTCGCCATTGATAGGGCTCTTGATGTACTTTGATGAACACATGTGGATACATTTACGATGATGCAGGCAGGACCAATTTGACCGCCTTCTTGAAAGAGATTAGTCCCATCCTAATCAATAACACAATAATTTCAAAATATTGATTGTAATTTCTGAAACAATAATTCAAAATCTTGCGTTTCAACCATTTTTTTTTTCTTTTCAATTCGTCAAAAAGTTAATGCGTGCTATACAAATAGGAGTACTATATATTCATCAATTTATACATTAAAGATAATTTTTTTTAATACTCAAAGTTGTTAAAATTTAAATTTTAATCATTATTTTTGGATATTATAATTTTTCCAATGTCACATTCAACTCTAATTAGCCAAAGCCATAGATAAATCGAGTTGAAATTGACGATAACTAAATTCCTTTTTTTCTTTATTCATTAATCATTACCCCACCCCCACCATATATATATTTATATATAAAAAGCAATCCCTTTTTCATCAACAAAAATGGAAAATTGATTTTTTTTTAAATGAAAATCGAATACAATTACCTCAGCTTATGAACATGTATACTTCAATCGAATCCCCTCAAATTATATTATGTAGTTATAATTTATTTTTATATATAGTGGAGATAATGAGATATGTATATGTAAAAATTGATGGTGATGGAAGTAGTGTGAAATGTTGATTGATGAGATCAACACGTCATACAATTAAAAAAGGAGAAACGATGAAAGAAGGTGCTGGAAAAGCATCCTAATTAATTACCAGACCCTTTTACTTTAACAAACTTAAAGACTAATGGAAACATGCGTAATATAAAGGCGTTGAGTGAGTTAGCTTAGCCTTTTCTAAAAGTGTTCCCTTGCAGCCTCGGAGATGTTGATACAAATTGAAGACTTTAAAATTCATAACTTCAGCGTTGCTCCATCTTTTTCTTCAAAAATTATTGCTGATCACAACTTATCACTTATAATAATTTGAGAAGTTTTTTTCACCAGAGAGAATATGATAGACTTTGCTTATTAGCTAAATTGTCATGTTACAAAGCATTATGGATCGAGTGTTAAATTAAATATCAGTTTTAATAAAAAAAAATCAAGATTAAATATTAATATTTTATTTAAAGAATTTGTTTTTTTAATTTTTTTATTTTAGAGAGTGAGAATTGTGTATTTGTAAGAGTAATACCTATTAGATCAAATTAAATTTGGTTTAATTTTTAAATATTGTATAATATTATAAAAATTTAAAATTTTATCTGAATTTAAATTGATTTATTATACGATATAATCTGAATTAAATAGAATTTTATCAATTTGATTTGATTTATTAATTTTTAAAATTTATTTTTTGATTTTATATATTCTCAATATAAAATTTTTATATATTTAAATAAATTTTGATATAAAATTATAATTTTTATTTTATAAAATTTTAAAAAATATATAAAAATTAATAAAAATATATAATTCAATTCGATTTTTTTTATTTTTTTATCTAAAATTCAATTCGAACCTAATATATATATATATATATATATTTAATATTTAAATTTAATTTAAATCAAACAAAAAATAAAAATTAAATTAAATATTATGATTTTAAATTGATTTTAAATTTTTTTAATTTCTTTTCACTTTTATGTACTTATGTGACAATACGACTCTCAAATATACATAAATAGAGACCAACAAATTTTTCTTCTTGCACTTTTTATTGGAACAATTTTTTAATAGAGGAAACAAATTCTCCAAATTGCAATTTTGGGGTCAGACTGAAAAAATGAAAATGCACAAACAACTATGGAAAAAATAGCTGAGGTGTGAATGATTACACAGATTTAACAACAATTGACCGCACATGCAGGTCACGTGCGCTTTAACAGTCCCTAACTGGTTTGATAAAGTTTTGTTTGTTTCTTTTTAGGTGTAATCTTTTTCACCGTTTCTGAAATTCCACGGCGGGAATTGATAAGAAAAAGAAGAAAAAAAAAAAAAAAAAGGTGTTTTCCTTATCATTCACGGCGAAAACACTGGGTCAATGACACGACGCTTTAAAGAGAGGCGTGTGAGAGAGAGCAACCAACTACGAAGGGAGCAAGGGCTTGTCCTTGGTCTGCGTCGGGGACCACCCCCCGACATATTCCCTTATCCGGAAATCCATATTTCCACGTTGATTTGAACTTAGCTTAACGAAATGCCTTCCTTAATTTCAAATATTATACAGTGTAGCATTAATTTTGAAATCAACTAGTTGGCTCATTCGATTCTCATATTTAAATTCACTTGCAATAATAATATTTGAGTATATTTGAGATTAAATTATAATTATTAAAATTAAAAGTAAAATACGGGTTTATTATGAGTTTGCATTACTAGCTACTCAGCGCTAAACTAAAATAATATATTGCTCATGTTCTTTAGGCCTTGTACTTCCTATTTTAATGGACGTACAATGTAATCAATGATTTTCATTTGGAAAATCATACATTAGAATCACCCGAAAAATGATTTTCATTGATCAATCTTAGATTTAATTGGGCATAATATAGAGTGGGCTAGGAAAGATGGGCCTCAACCTAGTGTTCTTTCTGCAGATATGGCTTAATGGGATAAGACTTATAGGTGGGCTTGATCCAAACCATCGCAGCCAATTACCACTTCGATGATCAATCGGATAATGAATGCGGGCTTGAAGGGAAAACTAAGCCATGGTCCTAGCCCAATTTAATCCTATTTGTCCTGCGGAAAAATCAGATTTATTTTAGTTTCTATTTTTAGGTCATTGGTGAACGTATGTATGGCACCAGATAAGAATTTAATTACATAGTATACTACTATTTGATTTATTCACCAAAGTGTTTTATTTTATTTTTTAAAATTTTCTTATATTCTTTAAAAACTACAACTAGTATTACTATAAAGCTTATTATTTGTGATTAAAAGAAAAAAAGTATATAAAATTCTATACTTAAATTCGTATACCTAAGGCTAAGATTGACATTGACACAATGATTTTTTTTTTGGGGGGGGGGGGGGGCAGAAACAAACAATGATTCTTTAATTACATTTTTTTTTTTTTTTTTTTTGCATTAGAGTGATAAGATATGGAAAAATTTAAAAAAAAGAAAAGAAAGGAGAAGAGAGGGACCCAAGAACGAGATAATGGAGCAGCAACTCATACATCCTCGTCAGAACACTTCTTTTAAACTAGGGCTTTCTTTTGGATGTTCTCCAACTTCTTCATTCTCTTTCTTTTACTTTTTCTTCTTTCAATAATATCTCCATTATAGTTTTCCCTTTTCATGCCCCCCAAAGCTCCTTTATTCTCTGCCTTCTACAATCTGCTTTTTCTTTACATATTGAAGAATATCAACGACCCACAAGAAAACCCCACTTATTCCCTTTGATCGGCATTCTCATCTCCAATTGAAGCTTATTCTTTCTAAATAAACAAACAAGAAGCTAAAACAATTCAAAGCAAGTAGAAGGGAAATCAAGGAGATCAGCAGAAAGAAAAAGAGAAGGAAATGGTGGAGTTTGATTATGAACAACTTGTGATAGCGACCCAAAGTTTCTCTCCATCAAGACTGATAGGCAAAGGCAGCCATGGAGCGGTCTACCAATGCATTCTTCAAGATAACCAAGTGGTAGCCGTAAAGAGATCATCCATCAGTGGTGTTGAGACACAACTTGACAACTTGAAGAAGCTAGAAAATGAAATATTTATATTGTCATCTTTACGGGAAAGTTCTCACATCATCAGCTTTCTTGGAGCTGCCGCTCAAGACACTGCCAAGAACGACAAGCTTTTGGTGATGGAGTTGATGCCTAATGGTTCATTGCATGATTTGTTACATGTTGCAGCCACCCCACCCCCGTGGCCTAAACGTGTAGAGATCGCTATGCAAATCGCAAGGGCGGTTCAGTTCCTCCATGAAGGCAAGCCTTTGGTTATTCATAGAGATATTAAATCTGCAAATATTCTGTTTGATTCAAGCTGGACTGCTAAATTGGCTGATTTTGGACTCGCAATCTTGCCAGCAGGCTCGTTGAGTCAGGCGACTCAACCAGCCGGTACTATTGGGTACTTGGACCCTTGTTACACCGCCCCTCACAAACTAAGCACTAAAAACGACGTGTTTAGTTTAGGGGTTGTTTTCTTAGAAATTATTAGCTGTAGAAAAGTCATTGATGTCACTAAAGCACCGGCTTCAATAGTTGAATGGGCAATTCCATTAGTGGAAAAGCAAAGGGTGATGGAAATCTGCGACCCCAGAATACCATTTCCAACGTACATGAAAGGCATGATAAGGAGAATATTGAGCGTGGCATCACGTTGTTTGTCAGAGAATGAAGATTGCCGTCCTACAATTGGAGAAATTATTATGGCAATGGAGACTTGTTCCATTGAAAGAGTCAGAACCATTAGTACTGCTTGGACTAGCATCTTACATAACTTGATTCTAATCAGGCGGCGGCGAAAAATGACTAGAAAATGCGGGGCTATTCATGCAATCCACCAAGGTGATGTTAATAGCGACGTTTCGAGAGGGAAAATGTTACTAAAGGATATATTAGCAGATGTTACATTGAAATGAGTGGTGAAGCTGAGTTGACTTGGTATTTGTGAGTCGAATGAACTCGCGTAGTTGGTTGCCTTTGTCGATATATAATGCATTCCAAACAGAAGATTCCCAAAAAGTTGGTAGGCAGAGAATATAAGAACTCTTTGTTTGTTGCCCTCTTATTCATTGTCGATGTCAATACTCACTTCCTTTTTCATCTTTTTAATATATATACTTTTTGTTTTGGAGCATTGGCATTTTGCTTTTTGAATGGATCATTGGCCCCCTTTCTGTATAATAGTTATTGTTTTGCCTTGTTAAGTTTTCATTTTGACATTCTCTCAATTGTAGCTTTATCTATTCAAATTGAACAAATGAAACCATTTATATATATAAGGATAACATAACCAAAATTGAACAAATGAAACCATTTATATATATATATATATATATTATATATATATAAGGATAACATAACCAAAATAAGGCAAAAACTATCAATAAATTATTAACTTATTTGGTCAAATTCAATCAAATTCTTTATAAATAATTTTATATTCAAATATTATTTATATTGATCTCTTATTAATATTATTAATTATGAATGTATCGAATGTTTTGTTTTGATCATACCTGATTACTAAATAATTGATTGACTTTGAGTTTTTATTTCAATGAAAATTTTAATTAATTACTGACAAACTATGTTTCAATAACTGAAATAGTCCTACTAGGTTGTTCTTGCTGTTCTCGAGATTCTCATGTGCGGTGATAAGTGAGGAAGGTGAGTGAAAGATACACAAATAGAAATGGTAAGTTTAAAAAACAGCAAGAAACTAGTTCTTTACCTCCATTGAAAGACATATGTTGAGGGAAATCCAATTTCTCATAGAAATATTAACGGGTTAGGTAGGACAAATTTTTCTTGTCTCGAATTTAATTTTATTTTATATCCATAATATTAGAATTCGATGCAACTTAATTTTTTAAATTATATTATATCTAAATTTGATTTAATTTAATATTATATAAAATTATATTCGATTCGATCTGATTTAAAATTAATAAAATATTATTTTTAATTTAAATATAAATTTAAATAAATTTAAACATATATAAATATAAATTAAATAAAAAATTAAAAATAATTTTTTATAAATATATATTAGGTCAAGTCGAAACGAATTTGTATAAAATTTGATTTTAAAAATTTTTTATTGTTACTCAATTTAAAATTAATTTTAAAAAAAATAATTTTAAATAATTGAATCGAATCAAAATTTTTCGGTTGCGGAAGGGTTTGCCATCCCTAGTCTCTAAAGATTACAAATGTTGTAATAATAAATTAGAAATAAATGAGAAAGTGGACCAACTGGTAACTTGAAATATGAACCGGTAACGCATGGTCATTAAAATATGTTTACCACTATCAGTATGTATTGTGTTAAAAATATTATTATTAAAAAAAAAAGGAGAAATAGGTATTAAATATATTATTATTTAAAAAAAAAAAAAGGAGAAATAGACTTACGGGTTAAGCGATAAACAACCCATCGTTGACGTGGAATTAAAGAATTGGGCCATTGTAGGGGCCCTAAATTCTCGTTCTCTGAAATTTTTTGGTGCATGTGATCAGCTTCTGGGCCGTTGGGTCGATGGGTACAATAATCTATATCTTGATACTAGTCGGGCAAAAGGGGGCAAACATCTAAAAAAATGAAGCTCAGTTTTGAAATGATAATTGAGATTTGGCCATGAAGTGCTTTTCTATTATACTTGAAAAGCAACAAGATTAAGAATTGGCCAAAAAAAGAAACGAAAACAAAGGAAGTTAAACGTTATCCATTTTGTTTCCTTTCACTTTTACCACGATGGTGTTTGTGGCAGAAGGGAGGGATTGGGGGGGCATTGATACCCTGAAGAAACGTCTTTGGCTAACCTGTCACTCTTCCAGCAAGAATCAAATCCCAACTGGCGATTCTTTTGATGCCTTTGCGCCCTTGCCCTAACTTAAAAAGAGCCGTTTCACTTGCCATAAACATTATCATCACTTTTCCCTCTCTCTCTTCGGTCTTCACTTTACTCTCTCTCTTTCTCTCATGGATGACATTAATGATCAGAGCAACAATGGAGCCAATGCTGTAAGACGTCGGATCAACCGTCAAGCACTGGGTGAACAAGCTGGAGACACCTACATGGAATGCGGACGACACGTTTCTCTCTCAGCTGGTCGCTACACCGTTGATGGTTTTAGTGAGTTTCTCAAAGGTGCAGCGGGTGAAAACCCCATGCGTTGCGCCGCATGTGGCTGCTACAGCAGCTTCCATCGCAAAGTGGTTCCGACCCATTTCCGAAACGCCGAACACTACCACTTGTTCAAATACATCGGTTTCGTTCGTCCAGTGCCACAGCCTCTACAGCCACCTCTACCTCTCATGCCCCAACCAGAAATGCCCCATGAGCTCATTGCTGAAAGCAGAAGTGAAGAAGAAAGGTCAGCGACTGATGAAGAAAGTGAAGAAATATCAGAATTAGACAGTGAAATTGATGATGAGGAAGTTGAAATCATTAATGGAGGAGACATTGACAGCAAGGAATTAGACTAAGAATAAATGTAGGGTTTGGAAGAATAAATTGTAAGAATACGAGAAACTAGGGTTTCTTTAATTTGTATGCTTTAACTTAATTTCTCGTTTGATTCAAGTTTGTGTTAAATTTAAAGTTCAGAAAAGAAATATTTCTCTTAATTGCCATGCCAGAAACACCATTTTCACATAAATTGAGCTTAATAATTAGTTTCAATCTTCCTTGGCTTTACGAAGAAAATTTTACTCTTGCTGCACTGGATAATTAAAATAATAGGAGGGAAATAATTACAATGTTCATTTTATTTAATTTTCAATTAAAAAAAAAAAAACTAGTTCGAAGTGAGGATTTGATATAATTTCACTGCCTCCGTCATTGCAATTTTTTTAATGTATATATTGTTGTTTTTATTAATATTAAAAGCCAATAGGACATAAACATTTAGTTCTATCCCAAATTAAATTTATTTTTATTTGACATTGAGTCATGTTCTTAAATACATATACCTTTTACTCTCTGTTACTTTTTTTTAATTTTTTGGACATCACCTTTTGTGATTGAAGGCTAAATTCAATTCTTTGATCTGTTTTTACTTTTATTTTGAAGTTTTTATATGTTTAAAAAGCATTAAATGGGCTAGAAATGCATATATACATCTATAAGTAAAAATTAGAAGGAATTAGAAAAATAAAATTCAACGAAAAGGGCTAGGAATGCAATATAAAGACTAGATATGTTATGCACCAAGACACAAAAAAAAAAAAAAAGACTACGTATGTTAGAAAAAGTATAAAAAAAAGCAAATTAATGTCGTTATAACAAATCATTAAAAAAAAAAATACTGATAGAAGAGATGATTCATGTAACGGCGGGAACAAATGATTAAGAAATCGACAAAAAAAAAAGATATATTAATAAGAGAAATGAGTTCTATGATGGCAAAAATATATATATATATATATATAATTAAGAAATTGACAAAAAAGAGATTTTATATTATAATTAATGTATCAAACAAAACACATAATAGAAATCAACAATTTACATTGATATAAATCTATAAAAAGCAGTTTTAGATTGATAGGAAATCGACAGAATTATTTCTAAATTAATGGTTGAGTTGAACAACAAAAGGAATAATATTGATAAGAAAAACACATAATTACATGCTCGTTGTGGAAGAGAATTATCGAAAATAGACAAAAGTCATTAAAACAAAGATAAGCAGTAAAAGAAATAGAAAATTACATAAACTTGGCAGGTAAAGAGTAAATAGGAAATACAGATGCAGTTTTGAATTGGATAGAGATGTAAGGGTGCATATTGTTTATATGTTATATGAGTGTAAGTATCCCGTTCCTATACATGATTTCTCTTTCTTGGGCATAAATCAAGTTAAACCCAGACAGGAGGCAAGCTTTAACTATGTAAATTGATTCTCTAATTGTAGCAGGACACGTCCTATCTCCATTACCACAAACCTGTCACTCTTCTAGCAAAGAATCTACCTCAATTAACTCAACGTTAAACAATTGCTAGAAGAGCGACAGCCGTTTCATTTGCTATAAAGATATTACTAATGCCCGATGCCGATAAGTGGCAGTCCAACTATTCAATCACTTCTCTATCGCTTTCATCATGGTAGAAACAAGAATTAGCACTGATGAGATCAACAAGAATAATGCAGCTGTTGAGGCTCGAGCCAATTCTGCCCAAGAGATCAACAGTGAAGGTGTCGATGTTGAACAAGGTGGAGCGATATACATGGAATGTAGGCGCAACTATGTTGCCTCCATTGGAGGCTACATCGTAGATGGTTGTGAGAAGTTTGTCAAGGGAGCTGGCAAAGGCGAAACCAAGGAAGCCTTGCTTTGTGCAACGTGTGGGTGCCACCGCAGCTTTCACCGGAAAGTACTGCTTCCACCGCATCTCCGAGACACCAGATACTACAATATTATGAACTACCTTTGTTCCCTACGGGCTCTAACAGTCCTTCAACATCGACCACCAACACCATGGCTGATGCGATCACCAACACTTGAAAATTATTGTGATCTAATTGAAGGTCAAGGCTCATCCTTAAGCCCAGATGAAGGTGAAGAAAAGTTTGAATCTGACAGCGGGGATGAAATTAATCAGCCCTTAGACATTGACAAGGCAATCTAGAAAGTGGAGAACTAATCAAGAGTTGGCCTTTTGTTGTTTTTCTTCTTATTCTCTGTTGTAGTTGTAGATGAACGTTATGTTTTTTTGTTAGAGCTTTTGTCTTGATGAAGTGCTTCAATAAGATGGGCGTGCTATGTGTATGCTAAAGGCTAAAACTTTGATTAAACTTCAAATCCTGTTTCTTTTCTTAATTTTTTTAAATGATCTGCAAACAAACAGACAAGACAGTGAAACAGAAAACCCAAATTTGAAACAAGATATCATATTATTTTCAAGCACGTGCATGCTCGAGCTCAAGCTCAAGCTCATTCTGATCTCATAGAATCATCAAATTATCATAATTAATTACTCATCATTCAAACTGAATGCTGACTTACGGTGCCCCAAGGCAAGTCTGGGTTAATTTAATTGAGGCGACAATCCTAATGCATGACCAGAATCATTGAAGCCACCATTTTTTACTTTATGAAAACAAATTCTATGACAATTTATTGCATTTGAATTTTTAATTTCTCTCTTCCTCCTTGTACCTTGATATTGAATCTTGATGTTGAGGGTGCATTTTTAATTTGAGAATTTCCATGTGGGTCCATTCCCATTGAAATATTGGTGTGAGTTTGACGTGGGCTGTGGGAAATGGGAACATGAATGGCTGCTGCCTTTGAGTTTGCCTACACACTCTATTAGCCTATAAAGTTAACACTTAACGAAAATATTTAAATTTTAAAAAAATTTAAAATAGTAGTTTTTTAAAATGAATCATTTAAAAATGTTAGCATTTTCAATTGTTTTGTTTGAATAAATATTTTTAAAGAATAATTTAATCTATTAAAATTTGATGAAATAAAAAATAATAAAAGAATAATATTATTAAAGATAAAAAAATACATATATATATAGAAATATATAATATGTGTATCATGAGATTTGTAAAAATAGATAAATTTTATTAATAATATAAAAATAAAAATATATTAGAGTTAAATAAAATGATATTTTAATTTTTGTGTTTTTTTTACCGTGCACCATGTGAGTAAAAAGATGAAAGATTTGGAAATTTTTGAAAAATCACATTTATGTGGAATTTCAAAAGAAAATATAAGCATCTCATTTTTTATTTTTTTCTAAAATTTGAAATTCTCTCTTATTTTTATTTTAAATTCATTTTTAAAAATTTTGAAAACTTTATTTTATTTTGAAAATTAAATTTTATTAAGAAAGAAAGGAATTACAGCATTATAGCAAAACCACTAAGTGTGAAATATGATTGACACCCATTTTGACAAGAGAATCGGTAAAATGATTTACATTCCTCAAAGCATAGACAAAAGAGATTTTTTTAACATCCGCATGCAAATTATACAAATTGTTAAAAAAGTCATTAAATTTCCATGGATTATCACACACTCTATTTAATTAAAATAAAAATTTTCTTCCAAATACTTCATCCAAACACACCCTTAAAACTTAGCAACCTTGTATATATGGCAAATGCAATTTTGATTTTGGTAATTCACGTCACCAGCTTGGCTAGCATAGCTATCAAACGGGATATATAAATAAATTAATATATATATGTTAAAAAGTATAAGAAAATTTTGTGGAGACTTCGGAGTCCTGGCAGAGATTTTAATTGGGAAATAATGATGAAGTTTGGTGGGTTGATTAATTTTACATAATCAAATCCAAAACGTTTTTCTCAATTTCATGATGGTTAGATGCATGTATTAGGGGGTAAGAAAAAGATGAACAACTTCTAAATTAAATTAAAAAGGCCGGCGTAGATGTCTTTTTCATAAAAAGATATGAAGACTAGCAATAATAAGTACTGTTTCTAGTCTCCATAACTCAGCTGCTAATTCAAAACCGAAAGCTAATTTTGGAACACCTAAAAGGTATGGGTTTTGTATGGTTTAGAATAATTAAACATGCCCTTACAAAATGGATATCGAAATGACGAACTTATCCAAAATTTCATGTCACTTTGCCATTTTGTTAGACCTTAACAAAATGTTGGACTGCTTTCTGTCCCTATATTATGCAACAAATTTCATTTTAACAAAAGTAATGCACACATATATATAATTTTTATATAAGGGTTTATTTGATAAGTAATGAACAATTATCGAATTATTATGGGGCTTTAGTGGGGCATGGACTGCAGCACAAATCCATTAAATTAAGTCTCTGGTTTAAAGTATATTAAAATTTGAATCATCAATTGAAATGACGGAAATACCCTATGATAAATTAGATTGATGAAGGGCTTGACCCAACACTTGGCAATTCAATCTTTTAAATTTCCGTTGAAATATCGGATTTCTCCAAAAAAAAAAAAAAAAAAAGAAGGGAGGATGCATGATTCCATCATCAGGTCACCATCATCAAAACTTGGCCGTTTACTTTTTCAAATGTTAGTCGGCACCAACTATATATATATATATATATATATATATATATATATATATATATATTGCCTCATTGAATCTGCTACAACCAGGAGCGGTTGATAATGATAACCTGAGGAGGCTTTGACCCCTTAAATTTTTGAAACCCTTTTTAGCATGTGTATATATATATATATATATATATATTCATATTAAATGCATTTTAATTTGTTTTCTAATAAAAATTAAGTTTATTATATTCTATATTTTATGAATTAAATTTATACATTATTTAAGAGATATTCAAATCATATTTATATTATTTATTTATTATATTAAACAATAATTACTTGTAAATTTTTAAAATCAATAGATTTGTCACAAATTTTAAATCACAATCAAATGAACTTAACAAAAGTTAAATAAACATTTCAATTTTCTTAATAAGATTTAAGGTTTCAACCAAACACCAAATATGTTTTTCCTTTTTTATTTTTTAGTACAAGGAAATCGAAGTTTAGATGATTTAAGGAAAGAGAAAAGAAGATTTAGCTTACTATAACTCATTTCTTCATATATTTTTTACTTTTATTTTTACTTTAGATCTCTATAACAAAATCCTTTTTTCAACAAAAATTCATATTTGAACTACTTTACAAAAGAGTAAAAAACATCATACTTCTAATATCAAAATTTCATCTTCATTCTTTTAAAGGTATATTTAGTTTTTTTTTTTTTTTGATAAAATGTTTACTAATTGATTTAATCATACTTTTTTATTCCACTTTTAGGTTGTAAGAAAAATAAAAAAATTATATGTAATTAGTAATTCAATAGTTAATTGTATATCATGTTATTATTAAAAGTATAATGTTGTGATAATAATATTTTTATTTTATAATTTTATGCTTTTATCATGTTCTTTTTAATATATTGTTTGCTTATATATATATATATTAATAAATATGATTAAATACACTTAAAAAAACAGATAAAAGATATTATATATTATTAGTTGATCACTTCTAAATTATATGTTAAGAACTGCCTCATCTATAATGTTCAATACTTATCTACTCATTTCTTTTTATAAGTTTGCAAGTTTACGAAAAAGACGTACACAATCGTCTTAACTGATCTTAATCCCACATGAGAGATGTTTTTGTCACATTTGCAGGTTCATTGAACATAGTTTTTATTTCTACAAGGGGTGGCTTGGCTTCGAAACTTAATTAATTATCAAAGACCGCACTCGGCACGTTGAGAAGATGGGGCTACCCCCACAAGATCATTCTCAATATAAATGCCACCAACTCTCTTTATTTCTCATATTTCCTTGTTGCTGTGACTTTTTTTGGGTACATGAAATCTGCTATGATATTGTATTTTCGATTTTTTTTTTGTAGAATAATGATTTGCTTCCGCACATAGCATACTATAAATAAATAAATAAATAATATATATTTATATGGCATATATGATATCATACATATATATACAACTGAAAATCCTACTCTATATATTTGAGACAATTTCTTGTAAGTACTATAAATAGTACTAATAAAGAATTACACTATCGTTATTTTTTTTTTTCACATTGTTGATGAAGTATGGAAACTTAAAAAGTACGAAAATTTAAATGTTTACTACAATATTATAATTATTAGTAAAACATAAATAAACACAACCTAATTAAGAGTCTAGGATATTGACATGTAATTAAACAAGCGTAAGAGCAACTAGGTATACAAGAGAAACCAAATTAACTACTTACCCAGGAGCCCGGCTAGACATATATAATTACCTTTTTCCACTAAGAAAATTAAGGGTTTAACCTCAAATCCTAATGTAGCTCCAAACTAGGAAAGAAATTAATAATACTAAAACCCTAGAGAAAAACAAGGAAGGTTCAAACCTGCAATACCTAAAGGTTAGAGCACATCAGCCCAAACATCCTTACCAAGTACTGTGATTTTCCTCTGCACTTCAATTGTGTATTGAACTCCAGTAATAATATCCCTTTGTTCCTTGCGAAAAATGATTTTATCTCCAATTCTGAGTTTGTTATGGCGATTGAATTCCAGCCAGCCTGAAGAAAACACCGGTTTAAGGTAGCTTGTCTTTCGGATGGAGCAGCGAAAAGCCCATAGACGATGGCTTTTGTCCTTAACCTTCAAATCAAACGAATGTTTTCCTCTGAAACCTGGAAAATGCATCAAACTGTTAGTTGGGATAGCTAATCTTTTGTCTATATCGGTTTGAGTTAGTCTTTTGTTAAAGAGTTCCATTGTTTAAATGTTAAACCAAAGTTAGTATTACTAGGTATAGTCTTGCAAATTTATAATGGCTAGCTGACTCTTGAACCCCGTCTGAAGAAATTGACGAGGAACCGGTTTCTATGTGTAGAAAAATTCAATGTAGGGTCCCAACCCAATGGTCAAAAATCCGGAAACATTCATTTAATTGCTATAGCTAGTAGTATTTTTTTTCCCTTTATTCCATAGAAACAAAATCATTGCATAACTTAAAATTCACGCGTGTATATATATATATATATATATATAGATATAAGCTTATTATCAAGTAACAAATCAAAAGACAAGATTTCTGAGCTTATTATGGGTTGATTATACCATGGCTAATGGATATAATAATTAGTTGAAGGATCCAACTTCCGAGTCATGTAACTTTCGTTAGTTGCTTATATAAAAGAAACATAATATACATGTATCTG